TCCACTGGCGAAGGGGCCCAAAAGAAAAGAAACTGCTCACTGCACCCTGGCCGCGTCGGGCGAGAAGGCGCGCTTTCGGGGAAGAAGGAGGCCCCTAAGAGGCCTCCAAAAGGCTCCAAGGAAGATCCCAGGAGACCCCAAGATTCCTCAAGAGGCTCCCAAGAGGTCTACTCCTCCTCCTCCTTCTCCTTCTTCTCCTCCTCCTACTCTTCCATATTCTGGTCCTCCGATTCCCTTTACATCATTATCCTCCTCCTCCTCCTCCTCCTCCTCCTCCTCCTCCTCCTCCTCCCCACGTGTTCCCCGAAAGGTTTCAACGACAGCTGAGGGAACACATGGTCCGATATAGTGACCAAAGTTTAGCCCAACTTTCGGCCACGTAGTCGCTTCCAAAACGGCAGGGGGCGGCGGCAATTTGCTGTAGGCATCTTCGACAAGGCCCGCAGCTCGAAGCTCGAAGGGGAGGAGAAGGCGGGGGGGAGGAGGGGGGGTGGGACAAGGAGGATGGGGAGGAGGAGGCGGGGGGGGGAGGGGGGAGGGGAGGAGGAATACGGCGAGATCACAGCTTGCTCCCACTCCTCTCCCTTGGCGCCGCGGGTCTCCTCGAGCCCTATGTCGACGGCGCCTGCACTCCACCGCTGCAGAGGGGCCAAACCAGGAAGCAGCCTCTCGTGTTCCGTTTCCTCCTCATCCTCCCCTTCCTCCTCCTCCTCCTCCTCCTCCTCCTCCTCCTCCTCCTCCTCTTCCATATTCTGGTCCTCCGATTCCCTTTACATCATTATCCTCCTCCTCCTCCTCCTCCTCCTCCTCCTCCTCCTCCTCCTCCTCCCCACGTGTTCCCCGAAAGGTTTCAACGACAGCTGAGGGAACACATGGTCCGATATAGTGACCAAATCTCCTTCCGTCTCCGTCTCCTTCTCCTTCTCCTTCTGCTCCTCCCATCGTTATTATCATTTCCATTCTCTCTCTCCTCCTCACCCTCGCCCCCGTCAACTTCTCGTGCCAACAGTCCTCGTCCATGTATGTGTGATCCTCATCATCATCCTCCTGCTCCTCGTCCTCCTCCTCCTCCTCATTCCCCTCTCCCCCTCCTTCTCCTCCTCCTCCTCCTCCTCCTCCTCCTCATGATCATCAGCATCATCCTCATCAGTGTCCGCTCCTCCTCTTCATCGTAATCGTCGTCCTCATGATCAGCATCCGCATCATCACCATCAACATCATCAGCAGCAACACCATCATCATCCTCATCCTTATCATCATCATCCTCATAATCATCATCATCATCATCGTCATCATCAGCATCATCATCATCACCACCACCATCATCATCATCATCAGCATCATCAGCATCATCAGCATCAGCAACATCGTCATCATCATCATCATACATCCATCCTCATCAGCATCATCAGCATCAGCATCAGCATCATCAGCAGCATCAGCATCAGCATAATCCTCAGCATCATCATCATCACCATCCGCCATCACCATCCACCATCACCCATCATCATAACCATCGTGATCATCGGCAACATCAGCATCCTCATCCGCATCATCCGTATCGTCCTCGCCCCCGTCTCATCAGCATCAGCATCAGCATCAGCATCATCACCATCGTCATCCTCATCATCATCAGCATCCTCAGTCTCATCACCAAGCTCATCACCACCGCCATCAACATCATCAGCAGCAGCATCATCATGATCATCAACATACTCACACGCATTATCGCCACCATCAGCACCGTCAGTCTCAGCATCATCCTCCTCAACATCAGCATGGCCATCATCATCACGAGCAGCATCATCAGCACCATCACCAGCATCAACAGCATCATGATCCTGATCAGCATCCTCATCTTCATACCCATCCGCCTCAGCATCAGCATCATCATAATCAACATCAACATCATCATAATCATAAGCACCATAATCAGCATCATCAGCATCATCTTCGTCATCCTCATCGTCATCATTACCATCATCAACATCATCATCATCATCAGCATCATCATCATCATCACCATCACCATCACCATCACCATCATGATCATCAGCCTCATCATCATCACCATCACCATCACCATCATCATCATCATCATCAGCATCATCATCATCATCATCATCATCATCATCAGCATCATCATCATCATCATCAGCATCATCATCATCATCATCAGCATCATCATCACCACCACCACCATCATCATCATCATCATCATCATCATCATCATCATCATCATCATCATCATCATCATCATCATCATCATCATCATCGTTACCATCATCACCATCATCATCAACATCCTTCCCTCCCTCACATCGCTGCCTCCCTCCTCGCTCCCTTCCTCACTCCCTCCTCGCTCCGTTCCTCTCTCCGCGCTCTCCGCCCCGCCTCCCTCCCTCTCGTCCTCCCTCCTTCCTTCGCTCCTCGCCTGGCAGGGGGGGCCCAGCACCTGCTCCAGCCAAGCGCAGGGGCAAGGAGCCGCCCCACACAGGGC